CTCGTCAGCTGAGAAACGTTTAACTGTAGCGATGGAAAAACAAAAATTCCTCGGCAGCAGACGGGAAAAGACATTCAGTAGTCGTTAGTTTTACTAGCGGCCAAAGGAATCGACACTTATTAGGCAATCCTGCTCTGAACACCGCATGACAACATTACAATCGGTTGACCTTTAAAACGCTACCTTTGCATGTTGCACAACCGTTCACAAAGCTGTTGCGTTCACCATCCCTTAACACGACCGTTAGACAACCTGATAAGACGGGGATGAGGATGACATCTGATTAAGGCCCTATTAGGCTTCAATTAAGACATTTCTTAAACGTTTTATCTAATGCGGCAATTACCCTAGGATTAACATATCACTCGACTTGTTGCCTGACATGGTTAAGGCGTGACGATATATCTTTGAGGCTGGTCCGTTGATAAACGCTGTCCATGGCATTTGCATTTTGAATGCTGATAATTCTGATTCTAAGAATTAAAAGTCTTAGGACGTGATCATGAAGGTGAATGTTTTCGGCTGGTCTATTATATTTCAGATGTTTATCTCTTTTTTTTTTAACTGAACTACCTCACATATACGTTCAGTCAAGGCCATTGTAAATGAAGATAAAGTGAATCTGGAGTGTATGAAGTAGGCGATTTATGTTGAAAGCTAACGACTCCACCTTCGAGTAAAAATAAAAAACTGAATGCCTTTGGCGACCAGAACTCGCTATTAAAGGAATCAGAATATCGGATTTTTGTGTTTATCCTCTCGACTTGCTAAGGAAATGAAACGAATAAACCCGACGCTGTACTCACATGTGGTTAGATTTGTTTAGAGTGCTGTCAGCTTTCTGTTTTAATTCCATTCGCTTGCTTTGGTAATTTTTAACCTGGATTATATATTGGACGCGTGTTTTCTATCCCGATATCTCTGATCAACGAAAAACCACGCACCGATATTACAGGTAATGTGTAAAAGCCGCTCTCCCTCTCTCTTCTCCTAAACAACTGCTCACCTTTACCTGTACAACGCAGGATATCTGGAATGCGTGCGTAGTTTGTGATTGGAAGCATACTTAACACACTGATGGTAAATGCAGGTATCTGATGACTCCTCATGTGGCCCTTTTTTGGGGGGCAATGCAGCAAGCGAAGCGAAGTGTTTCATTTCTATACATAAACTTTATCATTGTTCTTGTTAAGTGACACATGTACAAGAAAACGTCGATTCCAAATGCACAATTTCTCATATGATGATTCTCACAACGCTGCTTTTCTTCTTCTGTCTGTCTGAGAATTAGCAAATCCATGTCGCATATATGCATCTTTTTTACTGATCAAAACACTGGATGAGAAGGCAATGATCGATCAGTAACATTGCTGATATTGCATCGTCGAATTCAATACAGCGTTAGGTGGTAGAAAGTACGGGTTGCCGATAAATAAATGTTTTATCACATGTAGCTAAGTATGCGGTAGAGGGTCCGGTGGAATATCTATGGCATGCCAAATACCATTATTAAAAAGCTCTTTGCACGTTTTTTTAATTAAAATAATGGAGCCAGAAGAAAGTGGGGAATTATTGGATTTTGAAGTAAGAGATAAGCAATTGTCCTTGGCAAATTGAAATCAGATTTGTTTCGATTTTATGGTACAACAAGACTTACACACTCTAATGGCAGAGCTTGGGACGCCTCCTCTCATCTTACCCCGCCTTCGTCACAGACTTGGCGTATGTTAAAAAATTTTACCCAGACATTTTTATCATCATCTTTCATCAGGTCACTTCCCCTTGCACTCGGTGACTATGCCATTTAAACACACACTACTGCATCTATTACATACATTACTTTCGAAGAGACGTTTTTTAAATGGGAAGGCATAATCATTTTTTATTCCTGTCTGCACGCATGACCATTGAATTCACCAGCATGACGACATAGGCAGAACTAAAGCATGACGAACAGATCAGACGTTTCCCTAATTCTACCCTGCTCCTTGGGGTTGTCAGTTAGTTGAAACGTGATGAGCATTTTTGGAATTAAAGAAGAACTGACTTGAATATACTCCTTAGGTTTTTATTCAAAACTCCATCGAAAAGTTTCAATAAATGTACTTGAAAAAAGTGACCAGATAGCTACCGATATAGTCAAGTTTCATAGAATCAATAGCTGTTGTTAAAAGAAAAAGGATCATTGGTATACCTAAGAGAATAACTCAGCGTTCATGGTTCCGTGAGAGACTGAACCATCTTGCCGCGAGGGGTGCCCAAGCTCGGAGTTCCGTCCCTCCAATGTGGGTCCAAAGCGTCGGTGTGAAATAAATAATCATTAAAAAAAAAGCTGATGATCGAGGCCAGCTTTCAGTGGACTCTGAAACTCGGTGTGGATGGCTGTAATTAAACCCCTATCTTATCTGCACTACACATACCGTGTAATTTCAACACCGTAATATCTTGTAGACATCAGCATAGGGAAATCAGGACGTTAACAATTGAAATTAAAGAGAATCAGCCGAGAGGCCGTGGGGACGGTAAAACTTATCGCTTCAAAGGCTTTAATGGCTGGGATTAAGATAAAACCAAGGCATCTAATTGGAACCCAGATGGTATCTGAAGGAACCTATGTTACCTGATGTTAACTCGCTGCTTCGTGGTTACATGTATCCGTGTTAGTTACCAAACAATTAGTGAAAAACTGCGACCAAAGCTATGACGCTAATTGGAGTATAAGAGGAAAAAACAAGGAAATATAGACGTCTGAAATTACATATTTGGTATTCTCGAATCTTATAGGTTGGGATTCATTATCCAAGGGGAAATGGGTTTATTATTGGCCTAAAACGCTCTGCCCATGTCCACAGTTACTCTCAATGAAACACTGAACGTGCTTATCAGTCAGAAACGAATTACCAAATAAAAAGCCTGGATTTCAGTCGCAGTTTGGGCTAAGTATCTCCTGTAAGGTGTAAGAGAACACGATTATTAAGTAGTCTATCAAAATATATTCAATGTAGGTCTCCGTGACTGCTAATGTGAGGATAAGCAATGAATTTGCACAAAACCTGAAAGTTTAAACCCGCATTTTATGTCACTTAATATACGATCCAAAGCCAATATATGTCCCCAAAGGAAAAAAAGGAAAGCGAAAAGAAAAAGTACACGCAACTTAAAAGTTCATAGCCAAGTTTCAACTGTTGAGGACTATTTAGATTTTGTGACGCCTGTGTTCGTGCGTCTTACAACTGTGCCTGACATGCTCACTCACGTAATAAAGATAAAATGATTAATCAATTTGTTGTTGAATAATGATTATTTCTCCAATTAGAATTAAGCAGGATGTATTGATAGATCTGTTTTTGTCGGCAAGTCGCATACATGGAGAAGGAAGTTCGAGACCTCGATACGGTGTGTGTGTGATTTTTAGATTTAAAAAAGATGTTAACCATTTTATAAAATGAGAGCTACATATACCCTACCCTTTCCCTGTTCAATAGATACAGATATTGCACCCACTTCACTTTAGGAACACGCCGAGTCTGTTAGCATGCATTAACTGATTTACACTGTGGAGCCCAAGTTGTTTGTTCCCTCTCCCATCTGTTGTTCAAGTGGGCGATCATGATCAGCGAGTGTACTTGGTCACACTTACTATCAGCTGGTACATCTTGCATTTATGTACTTATTCCCAGCATCATTTTTTAAAACATCTACACCTCTGTAAATGTAGGTAAAGGGTACCTATCAATCTTAACGAAAGGCCACGTCGTTTTGACTAACATTAGTATGATTTAAGAAAGTTTATGTACTGGTTTTATATGCTATTTTATTCAAATAATCGTACCTTTATGTACATTATCTATAGACACAAGTGTCGTTTGACGACAGAATTGCTAAGCAGGGCATTATGAATATTCAGAGTCGCATTCATTCGAGCATACATTGATCTTATGCTTGGCGCACGATAGGCTCATTTCTGCGGCAATGTTTCTGCCCACTGCTTCGGTTAAGTAACCTTTTTTCTATGAAGATGTCGGGTACTGATATAATTTAACAATTTGACTCGTAAATATACGCCGCTCAAAAAATACTGTTAATATTTGCATATGCAATCGTTTTTACGACTCCCTGACATAATTGTGTAATTAGATCAAAAGCACAACTCGCACGAAAGGATACAGATTGTGTAAGCACAACAGAACGAGAAAAACAAGCTGCATGAGTATATATATAGTTGGTTAGTTGATGGGGTTTCTTAATCGGAATTAACTTCTGTGATTCAGTTAATAAGTCAAGGAATGGTTAGTTTGCTCTGCATGGATTTTCGTGCTCAGGATGCGTCATCATATAGTTTAGATGGAATACGATTCACTCTACGAGACGGATGGTAATTTCCACATCTTTCTATGTAAAAAAGCAATCAGTAATGCTGCATTGCAGCCTTACGCAGCGTTTTTCACATCAACACGCAACTGACTCAGGGTACAGCAATTTGAAAATGACAGGACGAATAGATTGCTACATTGTTTCCCGTCTCTCTACTAGCTTCTGTTTCTTCGTATGACAAAACGAATGGATTGCCTCATTGTTTTCTGTGCCTCAACTTTAGCAACCGTTGTACTTCGTGTCGTTCCTCTCGTATGACAAAATGAACAGATTCTCTCATTGTTTTCTATTCTGTGTTGGCCTAATACAGCTATTGTGCCCCCGCCCCCTCCATGCATCTTGACATATAGCTTGTCACCTTGTTTTGCGTCACAACTGTCAGCTACTGTGTCCCTTCCGTGAGAGATGAGAAAACGTTTGTCAAGTTCTTCTCTTGCATGACATTGCGACCAGTTTGTCACAATGTCTTTGACTGTTCTTCTACAAAAGCAAAGGGTGTTCCACCACCCTGTATAACATAATGTAAGAAGGATTAGATTGTGATAATGTCTTCTTCTGCCACTAGTAGTTATTGAAACTCCCCCCTCCCCCCTACCACCCACCAATCTCACCATCTATTATATATCAAACGTGTGTCGCATCATCATATTTTCTTTCGCATAAAAATCGGACGGACAAGTTGATCGCTGCCCGGTCTTGCACAGCTGTTGTCACCCCATCCTACACCACAACCTAAAAAGACATGCGTAACAGGCAGAAAAAGGCCGTCACATTGTGCCTGTTTTTTATTTTTTAATTTTTTCACTGTAAACCCCCCAAAACCCCCTCCCACTCGATATATCAGGAAGAACATATAGTCTATGGCCCGCTACTTAAACCACTGTATATTTCCATCCACGTCAGACAACATCGCGATGATGCTTGCCTCGCATGTTATGCACCCGGTCTGCGTACGAGATAAGCCACCGAGATACGTCATACTAGAAGGCCTTAGGCTACGGGCTTTGCCCTTAGAGCAAAGGGGCATAGCCACGACTTGATCGCGCTATCTTCAGTCGGGTCGGACAGGGGGCGTTGTTTAGTCCCGTAGGGAATAGCAAGGAATAAAAACGAGCTGTAGGAGAGTTGAAGATTTATCGCAATTTGTGTTTATTTGAATTTATTCGGTGAAACGGAGTCTTTTCTCAGCGGTTTTACTTTCCACCAAATGATGCAGTAGATATACCTTTGTATCGGAACCATATTTTTCTTGTAAGTGAACATTACGATGTAGATTTTAGTCGGACAAACGCCACGTTTCTCTAAAATTGAATTTTGTGACGGGTTACACAGGCGTAAGTCGGCAATATAGATTTTGAATTAGTAATGGCATTTTGCATACGTCATAACTTATGCGTTATTGAAGAGACGTATGTTTGTTCATTCATAATTACAGTTATGACGGCAAAGAAAATGATTTATAGTTTATATTGTGTGTTTGTCCACATCAGCGATAGGAAATGACAAAATGCGTAAAACTTAGTGTAGCACATAAGGCATCCGGGATATACCAGGTTACGGACAGAGGCGAATTTAGTTGAGCAGAATACCGGGATATGCCCCTGAAAAGAACGACGTCAGTAGTTCATCCGATAACATAATGTGTCGATATCTTTTTAATTTCTGTTCTTTTCATAGCTTGGGAATTTTCACTATAATAACTCAAGTTACGATGAATGCTTTGACTCCAAATTATGATATCATCTCCCGACGTCGCTCTCTGAAATAACATACGAATTGTATAGTGTGCAAAAACTTACAAAAAGCCGTATTCATCATCATCCACAAAGCCTTCAAAATAATCGGCTTTCACCAGCATACACGGTGCATGTTGGTGAGCATTTTACATTATCATACACTGTAGCAATTTATGTGAGAAAATCATGCTTATTACCCACGGCCGCCATACTTCGGTATACCGATAACAAGGCCTTATAATGAAGGTGGGAGTATAGCGGGTTTTCGTCATCGGATTGGTGGAGTCTCTGCTGTATTCAGCTATTTCTCACCAAGTTACTGAAGATCGTCTTTAGTTTAAAGGCAACACGTCGGTATCACATTAGGTCCATTACAAGTAGACGGTTTGTGTTCACACCGTTGGTTTAGTGTGGTTATTTCTAGTTTATCCTGGTCGGTGTCTATATATTGCGCGTGTAGAATTCCTATTCAACCGAGTTGTACTGCGAATAGCTTGCTCGGCTGCCTATTACATTATGTAGAATTATGACTTTTTTTTACCTTTTTGAATGTATTCAGGTAAAGGTTATCACGGTCATCTCAAGTGTAGGAAATAATTTCTGTTTTATTTCATTTCAGAGATAATGTCTCTTTCAAGCAGACAACAGTGTTTTCATTCTTCCCAGCCGTCTGCAGCTTCGGCGAGGGGGCTGATTCAAGGTCTGCAGCTTTCGCTGCCTCTTCACTCATATCAGGATGATCTTCAGCAGCAACAACAACAATTACAGCAGCAACAACAAGAACAGTACCAACAACACAATCAGCAAACCTCCCACTATCACCACCAGCAGCAACAACAGCAGCAGCAGCAGCAACAGCAACAGAAGTCTCCCCAGTCGTCCCCTGTAACAGTTATGGACCCTCACGACGTATTTGCCAGCATGCAAGTGGAGGTCTCAGTGGCTCTCAACTTCATACTGTCGTACCTGTACAACAAACTCCCACGGCGCCGAGTTAACTGTTTCGGCGAAGAACTTGCCAAAGGGTTCCACAAAAAGTTCGAAGGGCACTGGTACCCTGACCAGCCGTTTAAAGGATCGGCGTTTCGTTGTATCCCTGTGAATGGAGAAAAGGTGGACCCGACCATCATTCAAGCTGTATACAACAGTGGTCTAACGACGGAAGAGGTGTTCACCTATCTGCCAGAAGATCTGACCATCTGGATCGACCCAGCCGAGGTGTCGTACAGAGTGGGAGAAAAGGGCGTCGTCAAGATTTTATATTCAAACAAGCGCGACACGGACCTGTTGGAAGGGCCAGACAAGGAACTTCAGACGTCCCTCTTCAGTTCAGACACACAGACTTTCAAGACGATCGACTCCCTGTCCGCGTCTGTAGGCAACATCAGCATCTCGCCCACCACCCCAACAGCGTCTGGTGGATGGCCAAACACAGCGTCCCCTGCCGCTTCTCCAACGTGGCCCGTGAGTCCAGTGAGCCCTCCCAGTAGCACGACCATCTTTAACCCTTTCATTCCTCGAGTTCAAGGTCCCACGTTTACAACGGCTGCTTTCGCACAGACCAAATTTGGATCGACAAAACTGAAGAGCATTACCAAGCGTCCGACGCGACTGTCCCCAACCGAATTTCAACAAAAACAACACACCTCCGCAGTGCCACCGCCGGCATGCACTGCCCCAGGGTTCCCGCGATCTCGCTCTCTCTCGCCACGAGAGGCCCGTGATCCGCGCCAAGATTTTTTTCTTCGCGACCAACAAAAACGGCTTCAGATGCTTCAACAGCAACAGCAGCTCTTGCAAGGTTTGGCGTCTGCAGGAGCGGGGACCACGGACAACTTCAATACCATGAATCCAGCAATGATGGGCTTGGGGTTGCCATTTGGAGACCCGCTCCTGTTGCAGGGCAACGGTATGGTGCCAAACCTTGCATCTCCGGATGCTTCCAAGACCCTTCTGGATCTTGCCGCCGCTGCTAACTACCCAGGCCAGTTGAGTCATCTTCTCTTGGCTAACTAGACATGTTCTTCTTGGCAACTATGACGACAGACCGAAAAAAAGGATGGTCGTGTTAATATAGCGTTTCTTAATTTTTTCATAACAATCATTTTGAGACTAGTCATTTTGTTTTGTTTTTTATATATACATATATATATATATATGAAATCTGCTGTTTACTGTGATATAGAGATAGCCACATACCCTCTATTTGTAGAACATATATAAAAACAAAAAAATGCGTCCTAGTTTAAGGGATTTTCATTATAGAAGGTGCTATAGAACTTGACTGAGACGAATGCCTTTATTCATATCCTCTGCTGAATATAAGAAAGCGTCGGATTGGTAAGATTTACAGCACTGCATCATGTGTAGACTTCAATCGCAGAGTTTCGGGAGAAACCAATCAGCGAAAATAAACCTCTTAAATTTCTACGAAAGCTAACAAGCTAGCAATTCCCGGAAAACTACAGTAAATAGATATTGCCTCTGGATGACTGATATTAACGAAAGCATTTTTGCAAAGGTCACTGTATCCAGACATTGCGCTGCATGTTACTGTCGGGATATCACTGAAGTAGAGAGTCTACGATTGCCATTTTACTGCGCTACAGTTTATGCTAATGTCGAGATTCAAAATGGCGGTCTTTCGTTTGGGAAGATGCAGAAGAATTAGTAGGCCTACCGACATCCGTCAACAGACTATGAACGGTAGCATTTCCTGTCATAATTGACTTGTGCCGCTACTAAATTTTCATTATTTGCTGTTACCTCCAGTTTTACTAGATAACCGAAAACTGCAAAGAAATTACCCTGTAAGCCAAAACCGGATAGGGGGCTAGGAGGGGCATATAACACGAAGCCAAAATATACAAAATGTTGCAATTTGCGACTTCAGTACATGCTGGTAGGTGTTACGTGATTTCGTTATGAACATATGTTGTCGTGTGGGTTCACTTCTTTTTTGTTCAAGTTAGTTGAGGGTGTACATACAATGTTGTAAAAGTGGCAATTAAGGCAAGATTGGAAAAGATAATCCCTTTACCTCCACCCTTCACTTGTGTCGTGATTGATAACGTTTTTATTAGGTGCACTTATGCGATATTTATTGGACGTTACGTTTGTTAAAAAATCTTCATTTTTCTAAAGAAATTGGTTTTATATATTTATTGCTGCTTTTAAAGGGACCTTTGCCACAGCACTTAGGAATGATCATGTAATGTTTTAAGAGCTATAGATATATGCAAATATAGTCACTTACAAAATAGTATTATTATAATTTTAATATCATTGTTAATGTATTATGACTACAGTGTTCAGCTGTATACTAATAAGGAAAAGGTACAATATTTTTTCATGATAGTGAGTATTTAATACAGATAATTTATGTTTGTGTACATAAGATGTCACTTTAAAGTAACTGTTGATCATGTTATTATCGTTTCTACGGCGTTTTTCGGGGACAAAGACGTATATCTTTTTTACTTCGTTGATCGATAAGGGCGGAGTTTCAGCTTTATATGTGTACTCCTGCACAAACATTTATATACATATACATACATATATTATAGAAATTGACTGAGATAAAAGGTGTGAATTTCAAATATTAAGAGCTAGATAATATATGTGGATTGCTAGACTTTTCCACTCGTTGTTGTGTAACGACTGTGCAATAAGTGATGATTACCCTGGTTTGACTATACATTTATATACATATATTCAAGCGGTCGCCAAGCTTATCTGTATCATATATAGATGTCCCAGGCACAGGACTATTTTATATTCTTTATAACGGGGAAACATTTTCATTGGGGCAAGGTGCTAATTTTTGAGTAATGCATTTGTTAAAACACGACTACTGCATGTATTAGCATACGTTAGAGTAATGTTTATGTTGACGAAAATTGGGAGGAACAACAAAAGTAAGAAAGAACTGAAAAGCTGTCAGTAAGTCATCTGTTTGGTAGCGACATTCTCCCGTAGTGATAGGGCACGAGTCGGGGATCTGTGGTACGTGTGGTTGTATTTATCTCCACCAATTGATTTTTACTGTCGGCCTTTGATTACAAAGCTATAATTAATTAATCAAAACTCAATAGTTCAACATTCCAAAGGCGGATGGATAGTCTGCGTGATAGAATATAAATACTACATTAAAACCGTTAATGCAGCAACAATATGTAGCAAAAGCGGGGGATGGTTCCTTTATGTATGTTAATGTCAAATAATATGGTAAGGAGGATGCACACCTCTGTAGTAACCTACGTATATCAATAATCAGCTGCCACAATATTTCACATACTGTATATGTATTGCATTATTAAGTCAAGAGCTGGTCTGATCAATGCACACTTTGGGGACTATTCACACAAGACATAATACAGATCGTTTCTAGTTAGTTGAATACGTTTATGCTGTGTAGGTTATGTTGATCGTAATCTATCCCCTAGGGTTCATCATATGAGCCTTGGTTTAGAAAGTTGCAAAAAATCAGTTAGAACAGCCTGCTTGGACAAACCACGAACCATAAGGGCTGGATGCTTTTTTACGGACGCTTATGATTGTGAACGAATGTAAGTGGTTCATAAATTAATTAGGACCGATCTGAATTAAGCCTGGTGTAAACGAGCTTCCAGTCAGTTTGGTTGTGTGTAACTCGCTATAACTATTTTCAGTTTACAACTGATCGTGAAAGTCCATCAAAGGAAGCCAATATAACGACATGCGACGTAAACGGGCTGTAGTGGTAGTGGGCAGACAACAGAGAAATTGGATTTGTTGTCTAAAGGCGAGTTATTCAGACGGCTAGTTAGAATGGGTAGCGCTGAGATAGTCAGACCCAATGTACCTGGAAACGCGACTGTAAGATATGCTGTAAACCTTGTTAAGTTTTTTAAAGCAAACCTCAGGCTGGCACTGTTCCTACCAATTAATTACGTTGGAATTGTAAGCAATGTTCTTTATGTTCGTGTTTTTTTAAGTATAAAGTACATAATTACGTGAAAAGAAATAAAAAATTCTAGTTTTCTATTTTCATTGTAAACTTAAAAAATCAATGGGTTCTCTTTTTTTTTAATATTGACTGACAACAGTTCCTGGCACTAATCTTTCCAAGGTTACTCGGGCACTTTTCCGTGGATATAAGCTTTTCATAGTGTCGGAAAAAGCTTCTACGTAATAGTTCCTTCTGTTTAGCCTATGGCATCGTTCTTCTGCATAGCTGTCTTTATCTTATACCCGTTTGTCACCATTAAGATGATGTTTATATTGCTACCTATTTTTAAGTTTGTAATAAAACAAATTTGTGCAATCATGGGCAGTTTGTGGTTAGTGAATGTCGTGGCGGTAACCAGACAACTCGTAAGAAAAGAGCTGGAATAGTTGACTCATGCTTTTGAATTAGAGTTTATGTGTATTCGCTTATACGGAAATAACAGTTTAAAGCATCGCCTAAACTGATGAAAATATGAATGCGACCGACTCCGATAAAAGGAGAATACCACAAAAATCAAATCGAAGGACCAGACATCCAAATAAAAATTCCTTCAAAGACATCTCTACTTATGCCAATGATGCACGCGCACCAATTGTCTCTTCTCTGTCAAAAACAACAACATCGCCAACAATGAACAATACATTGACAAGGCTGCACAGTCGAGCAAATTACTCCTGAACACGATTCTACAAGACGGACTTGAAGGAAAATTTCATGTTGTGCTGTTGAGGTGAAACATGTCCTTGTTAATTTTTTTAATTGTCTCTTTAAAATATGTCTGAAATGATGGTACATTTTACACAGGATATAACCTGGTTACGTGTTAAGAGATAAAGAGACCCCAGACACTCAGCAAAGACCTCGCTTTGAATTTTGTTTGCGATACATGCAAAAAAGGATCACGGTATTTTTTTTTTTTTTTTTGAGTGCGTGTTGTTTTATCAAAAGTTTCGAAGATCAAGGTGATTTCTTTAACACTGACATGTTTTGGTGTTGTATTTCATCTCTGTAAACTGTGGTTATTGATTTTGTCTTATTCGGCAAAATAACACACTTGGGTACATTTTTGAAGACACCCACATGTACTATGTTTCCATAAACAATGCTTTCTTCTCCCGAACAAATGACAGTAACAATAGAGGCGAGTGAGCCTGTCACTTTAATCGATTTGATGTTGTTCTAGCAATATATCATTTGGCTGTTCTAGGTTTTGAACCCTTTACAGCTTAACAACACGCGCAAACGGCGCTATTAAGATATCTTAACTGTGGCTTATCCCACTAGGCTGCACAAAGACTTATATTTATATCTAATACGTGACGAAAGCGAGTTGGTCACGGGCACTGCCTCGCGCACAATGCCTAAAAGAGGCGTATCTTTCACGGGTTTGAATCACACACATGTATTGGAGAAAGATGTTTCCACTCAAAAGTCATTCGGACCGACGCTGAGTCGATCCAGAATCTGTTTAACATGTTGACTGCAAAGAGAGTTACTGGTAAAGAGAGTTGACTGCAAAAAAGTTGTTCACTTGATCATGCTGCGCCAATAATCTGAAAAGCTCCACTATTTAAACCCATCTGTACTTCGCTTTAGAAATGTCGAAAATAAGAAATGATGTGAACGCGCTCTGCTCAAATATATCAAAGTTTTCACTTGTCAAATGGACAGTGCGTGTAGTTCAAATTGTTAGCTGAATGTGATAACTATTCAAAAGATAACAGCGCCAATTTGTCATACTGTGTTCTACTTAGGGCGGAGTTACTGTAACAAAACTTTGACTCGGTTCTTTTGCTCAATTTTCAAAACTGCCTAATGTGTAGTTGATAGATCCATCCGCTTTATACGTACAAAAATGACAAAAGTAACACTTGTACCTGAGAAGGAGCCATCCAAATCTTACACACCATAACACTCTGATGACATCTTAATAAATCTACTTGACAATTTGACTAAAATAATAAATAACGAAAGTATTAGACAAACTTTCTCTCAAAAGTTTGAAATGGGGTAGTTAGTTGATTCAACACAGCGTGCGCGCACACACCAACTTTTCGGTCACGTACAGTTGAAAATTTTAGCGGCTTAGGCAAACATGCAATAAATTATAAAATGAATAATTTAAACACCCTGTACTAAAGATGTTTGCACTCATCTTCGAGTATGTGTGTCAGAGATGCACTGATATGACTCTCTGTGTCGACCACGTTCACACGTGATTCAAATGAACTGGTTTGGTCTAAAATACGCAAATAGGGCTTCCACTAACAATGCAACAATCTTTTGGATGAATACAAATGATAAAATGCTGCGCATGGAGATATGTTACGTTGATATCCGCTTAGTTGAAAATACCAAGAAGTTGTCTCTACAACTTCTTGAAAATGCGCTTACTGATGTCATTTGCATCTGCCTCTCTACCGGAGGCGAGTGTGAATGCGGATTCTGCGAAATTTGATGGACGAGGGGCATTGGGTATAGTGCTCGCTGTTACGGCATATTAGATGCGCTGTCATTTAGGGAAGAGTCCAGTGATGTATTAGGTTTGTTTAATTACTACTTGGTCTTAGGAAAATTATTAGCTCTTCGATTAATCATGGATAGGCGTGGTGAATCATTCTGTTAATCATGCCTTCGTAAAGAATTGACTCTCTGTTACATGAAACATAAATCATGA